TGGTCACATACATACACAATCATAACGTAAGGATTCCTTTCAGTTGGTAGAACTATAAAAAGCTACAACCTGCTGAATCATAACTATATAATAAATGACTAAACATCTTATGCTGTTCAGATTATTTCTCTAAAATAAAAAGAATCATTAGTTGCAGTTTCACTAACTATTGTGGAGGCGCCATGCTTGAGAAATGAAGCTGAATTCTATTTCTACTTTGTGAATTAGCTCTGTAAATCATACTTGGAATGAGGAAGAGGGAAAACAGGAAACATGTCATGTCGCTTATCATCAGCATACAGAGCATCAGCCACTGTGTGCAGTCATGCTTGAAGAGTTATTTTTGCTTTGGAGATGTGTCCTTGTTTGCTAACTCAGACTTTATTAGTCAGACCTCAGTCATCTTGCTTTTTAAAAATTATTTTTCCTTCATGTTTTCCTCTGCAGTCTGTCTGCGTCCTCCTCTACGACTTCTCCTTGTACCTCCTCCAGAGCTTGTGAACTTGTCTCCTGGCCTCAGAGCGAACGCAGCTGGAGAAGGAGGTGTAGTGTTTACCCTTCACCTGGTGAACACAGAACAAAGGGAGACAAAGTCATGTTTGAAGGCAGAAGTCAGATTTTAAACTGTGATTTCAATGAAATTTCGGCAATCATGTTTCTTTATGTCACCCTGTTCCTGGATGAAATTGTTGAAGTGAGGAAGAAGGGTTTCAAGAGCTCTAGGAGTACTCTATAGTTTTGAACATGCTGGATTCTCCATAATGAAAATATCCGGGAAACTCTATATGCCTACAGGTACAAATTATTACTAAATGCAAAAAATGCAGAAACACAAACTTAGCAAACAAAGTGGAATACTCATTTTACTGAAATAATATGGCTTCCACATGACCAAAGTCACATTTACACATTATGTTAATGCTCTGCAGTAGGACCAGGCATTGACTCTAGACTAATGAGTGAGAGAGAGTTGGAGAAGTTTGACGTCATATTGCCCTTTTACATATTTACAGAAGCCAATGCAGTGTTGTAAGTAGGCTGTACATTAGTGGACTTGTTGTACTTTCCTAATATAATAAGATAAAAAGCCAACACGGAGTATTAATGTGACTGCTGATGTAATTACTTTCTCATTATCAAACTGTAGATATAATGAAAATCTAACTGTTTCTGTTGTTGGTTGTTGTTAGTGATACTTATCTGCTGGCCAGCTCCTTCTTCAGACAGGATTTAAAAGAGGTGGCTCGTGCAACAGCTTTATAGCCCTGAGAGGTCACGAGGTAGACGTCATGACAGAGGAAAACAGAGACAGAGGAAGAATGCAGGGAAAATGCAGGAGAGAGAAAAGAGACAGAGGAGGGGGGTGAATAGGATGGAGAAGAGGGTGCGCATGTTAGGATGATGTTGGATTTACAGAGAGGAGATAAAAGTGCAGCAAAGACAAAGGGAGATAAAGAGAACTTTGTTAAGAAGCCAAGACTGTGAGGCCAAGACAGCATCAGAAATACAACTAACACCTTTAATTCTCTGCAGTGATGTTTGCTGAATATAAGAAGATTGATTGCACGTGTCAGGTATTTGTTTCACCTGTGCTGAAATGAAGGCTTTGAATTGCAGCATTGCATAAAATACCCCACTAGAGGGCAGTATTCCCTATTGGGGAACTGTTGGTAACAACTCCATGATAGTTGAAACGATGAAAAGCTCCAAACCTTTTCAAATCTGTGCAGGTTAGGATTTTAAATATCAATGCCATTTCATTACAAGTAAATGCATTTAGTACTTGTAGTTCAAACTCATATTATTCTAATCAGTCGAGTTTGGTTCCATTCAGGCTACATATTCCATTTCCTGTTCTGTTTGCAGTGGCACAAGGTCAATTATAGTATTTATTATTTAAAATAGATGGAATAAAACATTTAACTGCAAAGGCTATTAGATGCAACCTCAACTAGAGCACTGGAGTTTGAACCAAAATAACCCCTTTTATGATAAAAGCTTGTTGTTTCAATGCTGGTGGTTTGTCCTGCTCAGATTATTTGCTTCTTTTCAAATAATGTTTTCTGAAAATGTCCAGCACAGGTAAACAAGGCTCTCTGTGGAGTGGAGGTCTGTTATTTGTACATTTTCCTCCTCATTCACTCTCCTAATATTTTAAATCTAAATTAAACAGTTCAAAGATTAATAGCACTTTTGTGAAACTGGCAAAAAAGGTCCAGTGGGAAGGATTTAGGGGATCTATCAGCAGAAATGGGATTTTAATTAGTGTAAAATCACCCAAAACAAAGTATTTTTGGTTACAGTAGAATGAGGCCTGTATATCTACATCAGGAGTAAGTCCTGTTCAACAGAGTCGGCCATGTTCTACCATCATGTTTCTACAGTAGCACAGGACAGACAAACCCAACATTGGCTCTGGAAGGGGGTTTTCTAATAGTTAAATTATTATTATAGGTTCTCCACACCTTGGAAGGGGATTGAGGGGTATTCAGTTTGTTGCAATATGCAACATCACAGCTAGATGTCACTACATCCTACCCACTAATCTCAATCTCTATATTTCTCTCGAGCACGGCCCCTCACCCTGGCTCCTCTGTGCAGCCGGTCTTTCATGATGCCGATGAACTCCTTGTAGGAGAGCTGATCGTCGTGATCTACATCAAAAATCTTGAAGATGGTGTTAACAAGGTGACGTGTCAGCTTCAGCCCAGTGGCTACATACACTGCTCTTGCAAATTCATCTGGTGGAAAGGAAAGAAAAATATATTTTGAGGATTTCGGCATTAAAAAACATTAAATCTGTGTTTGTGACCCTCATTGCCTGCAACACTATTTCCCACTGCTTTCTTCCTACCTTGTCCAATTGAGCGAGAAGCAAAGTTATACATCTGCATGGCAATGGCGAAGTCCTCAAGGTTGTTGAGAAACTGGAAGAAGGATCTGAACTCATCGAAGGTGATTCCCTGAAATGCCAGAGGCAAAAAGTAAAATAAGACTCTCACCAGCCCAGAAAATGAATAAAGGAAGAAGACTGACAAAATATCGACGGCCATCCGGCAGACATGCATACATCATTCCTTCAGCTCTCATCCGAATAGTTAACTCAACAAAATAATAACAAAAACAACTCAGCATCAAGAGATTCCATGAAATTAATGACACAATAAGCCATTAGTGAAGGGTTGTATGTGCATGATATGGAAATATAAACAGCAGCCTTCTTGCAGTGTGTCATAACCCGGAAGTAGTGCATACAGTGATAAGATGAAGCCACACTTGGCTGGCAGGTCAGACGACATGTGACTGTAAAGCCAGATGACTTCCTTTATGTAAAGATACAGTGCTTTCAGTGTCATGGCCGCCACATGCTGTTTGCTATGAATCATGATCCAACCTATTACATTGACGGCTAGATTAGTAACATATTACTGATTTAAGAACAGTAAAGACATTCAGTTTTCATAGGTTTACAGGAAAAGATGCAGATTCCAAACTAAGTAACGAGCAGTCAAGCCATCCCTTATAAGGTGACACAAACAAGATGGCGGCCTAAAGTAGCAGGAGAGACTGACAGAACGTATCCGCAGGCTGCATGTCGTACGATGCAGAGACCAACCTCCTGCTTCTTCCACAGCATGTAGAGGAAATATGGGAGGGACAGAAATATAGAGTTGGTTTGCATAAAGACTACAGACAGACAGACAGACAGGCAGACAGGCAGACAGACAGAAAGACAGACACAGATATTGCTGAAAGTGCTGTAAGTGTTTGTGGTAGTGTTTTGTCAAGTGAGGCAGTGGAGCATTAAAGTGTGGAGAACAGCCTCAGGCAGAGACAGCGGTGGGAAATTACGGACGCACTAGATGGCTGGAAGGCAGGGACACACAGAGAGGAGGAAGAAGAGATTGGACAGATGGATAAAAGACGAGGAAATGTATCTGGTGTTATCTTTAGTAAAGCGTATGACTCTTAAATATCACGTGTCAGAGTAAAATATCAAATAAGGGTCTGAGTGTGAGTGTATGTACCGCACCTTCTCATCAGGTATACACTGGCGGACATTCTCCAGATAGGCGCTGATGTTCTCCACATTGGTGAAGCGCAGAAGGATTTTTGCAAAGTCTTCTTCACTGATGGTTGTCATTCCTTTGGAGTAAGTCAGAAACTCAATTTCTAACACTTCTGTCTGCAGGTTGTCCATAAACCTGAAGAGGAAAAGATGGAAAACTTTATTTTTGAAATATAGAGAGAAATACATAGACTCATTTTTCTAACATGAGTGATTTGGTTGAGTTGTTTTTATCTCTCATGTTATGATGTCCAGTGATTATTGTTACATCCACCGAGGAGAGTATGTTTTCACCATCTTGTTTGTAAGCAAGATTACACGAGAGGCTGAATGGATTCCCAGGAAATTTGGTGAAATTTTGCAGGATGAGTCATGAGTCATCCCATTATATTTTAGTGCAGAGGAATTTACCTAACTTTCTTTAATACTGTGAGCTGCTTTTTTCAACATTTTCATAATTTTCCTAGGGAATAATTAATGGACGGAGAACACATTTCAGGAACTGATGTCTATCAGTGTATGAAATTTGGTGCAGCATGATTGAATGTAAGGGGACTGTTGGGCCTTGGCGGAGGTATTCGCTCTACTTAGCTCATACCTGTAGAAGTCATCAAACGTCAGCTCTGCCTTCCCTTTCTTCCCAAAGAAATGGACCAGCAGGGTGGTGTCGATCGTGATAGTCTCATCCGCTCGCTATGAATCATCACAGAGGGAGGAATAACAGAGAGGATCAATTGGTGGCTACTGATCAACAAATCAGTGTGATTGGAGGAGAAATGGAGGGCAGGATAACTCCATAATCAATCCAACATAGCGACTGTGGTGCCAGGCGAGCAGGAAGCGGGTTTCTGCTGCACATGTGCAGGACGTGCACCAGATGAGCAATGACAAGTTAAAATCAATCAGACAAACATTGTGACATCAACATGCCAGTCTAGGCAGCAATACGTTTCAAGTTCAACCTCTTTAACAGTATTAGTTTCAGTTAAATTGAGTATGAGCAAAAAATTGACAGGTTAAATGGTTAAAATGTTTCTGTCGATAGTCATGATCACCTGCAATAAGTAATTTTATCAAAGCAATGACACAAAGTGAAAGGTACTGAGCAAAACTTTCTCCCTGCAGCCTAGACTGGCGAGGAGTGTTGCTGTGGCAGCATGACTCAGACAAAAAGACAGGAGGAGAACTCAGGTTGCAGCACAGCAAAGTCAAACAGACAGGGACAGACAGAGGTCAGCAAGTGTGTAGACGAGAGGGAAAGAAGACGTATGGAAGAACTAACGGCGAGAAAGACACATACAAAACACCAAGCTGGCATAGAGACATAGAGTACACAGGCACACTGAAGCCACCACATCTCATGCATTTGTCTGCAAATGCCACATCGCCACACCCGAACGTCAAATCACAAACAGCAGTCGTTTAAAAAGAAAACAAACCCACATAAGCACAAATGCAGAGAATGTGAGTCAATTCCACCTTTTTCCATCAAACGATGACAATCATGGGTGCAGCTTTACAACATTCGTGCTGTTTAAACGTGTTTAAGTGTTTCTCGGTCTTAAGTCCTGGTCATTTGAAACCCTTTCAACAGGCTTTGTCCTGTTTGTGCTATGATTTAACACGGAGTAAGAGTACGATGAGAAAATGTTTTGAGCCTCACAGTAAAAGAGTGTATTTCTCAATGTCTATCTCAGAAAAAGGTGACAGAAAAAAAAAGTTCAGCCAGCGTTGGGGTAGACAGAGACGACTTCAACAGCTCATCTTTTTTTCTCTCTCCTTGCCATGCCCCCACCCAGCCAACCTCCCCCATCCTCTGTCCAATCCAGGGCCATGCTGAGGAATATGCAGACATCAGATCGGGAGAAATCTCATGTCCCTCTATAAGGAGGGAGAGCATTTTGTGCCATTTCCATCAGCATCATCATAATAATCATCATCATCGCCACAATGCCGTTCGTGGTTCTACCTCCAGGGTAAAATCCTAAAATCCGATGTGGGACGAGAAGAAAATGTCAAACAAGATAACAGAGGTTTACAAAAAGAAAAGAAGAAGATGTGTTTTACAATCAAGATGTTTCTGTTGTAATTGATTGGTGTAATATTTATATCAGAAATGTGCAAAGCTGCAGGATAACGACAGAGAGAAGACTGTGCATAGCGACCTGGGTGACATTGTTAAGTTACAAAGATAGTTCCAGTTTTACAAGATATAAAAATTTATGGGACAGGAAAATAAATTTTGTGCTTCTTTCCTAATTTGTTCATCACATCTTCTCAGGTTGTGAGAGATGATTGATGAACTAAAATTCCACTGGAAAAAGTCCATTGTGTAGGTAAGCATTAAGAAGAGTAAGCTAAATCAGGTTATGGGTCTCAGTTTTAGGTACTTGCATGTTCACTGGTAATATTCTCTATTGTGAGATTACAGCACAAAACAAGTAGATGTTGCTATAATAGATGCAGACTGGTAACTCTGAGACACAAACATTAAAAGTCAACTCTGTTTTAGGACCAAGACCGTCAGAGTGACTCCCAGTCTGTTTCTGATTCATGCTGTGGTCTGGTCTTTCAGTCTTTGATTAGTGACAACGGAGGATTTCCTTCATATAAACACAGACTTATCATTTCTGTGTCTTGTTTTCTGTCTCACATACTCAAGGGTCTTATAATTAACCCTTTTGATTACGGACAAACAAGACAAAGCACTTTGCCCTTTTATCTTAAAACTGACTCATAAGGGTTGCCTATATGACACATGAGCTGTTCATAGCATCTAGACAGCATCCAGGTGGTGTTCTTCTTGAAGTTTTATGCTTTGTCCTAATTATACTTCTAATGGGATTGGTCAACAAGTAGAAAAAATGAACTGAGTGAAGCCTGGAGTTGGTACTGAGTGGAAAACACTTGATGTTGTTTCAACTGAATCAACAAACCTAAAAGTACATTGAAACTGACTGATAAAGCAGCAGTATGCTGAAGGTCACAGAAACTGTTTATTCAAAACTAATTTATTTTGACTTTATTTAGTTGTTACAGTACACAAGTTAAATTTTAAGTTTGTTTTCTGGCCTACTGGTAAATAAAAGTCCAATATTCACAATATTCTAGCTCAGTTTTGGTCTCTACCAACTCCTGAGGTTTATATCTGGCTCTGTAGCTGTTAAATGCTTCATGCTATCTCACGCTGAACAGCAGGAGCCTGCAGCAGCTGGAAAGAAGGTTGATGAGACCAAAAAGTAAAACTTTGGTCCATAAAACCAAAACAATGAGCTCAAAGGTGCTAAAATACTTTGTAACGCTGAGGGGAAACTGCTGAGTCATAATTTTAATAGGGCTAATAGAAAATATTTCATTATATACAAAATAATTTGAGCTATTGTTAATATAATACATATCAATTAGTACAGCATTAAGAAGTAGTTATTTCATAACTGATTTAAGTAATAAGCATACTGTAGGTATGATAATATATATTATCTTTTATAAAGGTTTTTATCAATATATCAATTACTCATTTTAAATTAGGATGACTAACTAGAGAAAATTTCTGAATCTTTCCTTTGTTAATACATTATCAGCCTTTATTTTCCCTTAACTAGATGATAGTCAATCTATCAAGCTATTAGTATTAATATTGGCCCTTCATGAACCCATGTCAGTCTAACCATGTTTTTGACATAATCTCGACCTGATCATAACAAGCTTATCATTCCTGGAAGTGTGTGAGCAGCGGTGTGAGCTCATCATTCCAGTGAAGACGTAATGGTTACCACGCCTACAAGGCACGGGCCAACACCTGGTGTATGCATGTGCGTATTTGTCTATCTACGTGTGTGTGTGTGTGTGTGTGTGTGTGTGTGTGTGTGTGTGTGTGTGTGTGAGAGCTTTGATCACAGAGTCAAAGGTAAAAACAGTCATTACTGATGTAAACACTAAACAGTCTTCCTCACCTGTGAGTAACACCTCAGAGGAAGAGCTCGTCGTCAGTCTTAAGTCAAGTCAGTCAGACTATCGGTCAGTCCCACCTTCCAGGGTAAAAACACCTCACCCTCCTTTCCCTCCCCATGACCTGTTCTTCTCTCCCCTCTCCGCCTCCTTCCACTCTTTACCTCCCACCCTCTCTCTGTCTCTTTCTTGTATCACTTCTTTTCCTCTTACCTGGCCCCCGATCTGATTAGCCTGATCTCCCTTCTCCTCATAACCGTCAATGCCTCTTCACCTGACAAACATGGAGGTGATTTGCTCTTCCCCTCCCTCCCTCTCTGCCTGTCAGTCAGTCCCTCCTTCCCCAGACAAAAGCAAAGAGGTATAATGGTGACTAATCTGTTGAGTAAACACATCCATCTCTAAATACAACCTGCTTCTTTCTTTTCCCCTAAATGTGCTTCCCAAACCCCCCCACCCCCACACTCCCACTTTGCTCCTGAACATTTGTTCTCTCCGCTGACCTGTGTCATCTCCTTTAGGCCTCTCTCACCTGTTTGTTGTCTCTGTGATTTGATCTCTTCCTTTTTTCTCCACCCAGAGGTTTTCCTACTTACTGGATCTGACAGATTTTATTTCTCTTTTTGCTTCTACTATCACCACTGTCTCACTTCTTCTGTTTGTTTAATAATTGCAGTAAGTATTTCATAGTCCCGCACACTTTCAATGGCTCTGTTTTTCTTCCTTTTCATTTTCCTCACCCCTGCCTCCCCCTCTTTGTCTGATTCGTCCCCTTTGTCCGTCTGACATCCCGGTAGATGAAAGGGTGTGCGGTGTAAATACAAGGTCAGCCCCATTACGCACCACTGTCATTACCGCCACCTCAGCTTCCGCAGCCACCACCGTGCACGGCCTGTCATTAGTCAGCTAGCCTGCTAGTGCTGTGCTAACTGTTATTAATCATTACCTGCACCATCACCTTATGTGAGACATATCAGTGGTGCACATGAACAAAGCAACGAAAAGGTAAAAATGTATGTAAGTTCTCTAAATATTGGCAAGATAAGATTATCATGTTTGTTTCTTTCATTGCTTGTAACAGATCTTTATACATTCTAGTGGAGTGGCTCTATGCCTGTCTATTGGTTGTAAAGTCCAACAGACAGAAAAATCTTAATATGTAAAAGGTTATTTTATAGAGATATATGTGGCCCATACGTAGACTGTATATAAAGATGGACCACTCATCTCCACTTTCTCCCACTATCCAGAAATGAAGCCAAAATATCCCAGATAAGAATGCTGCTATCTTGTGCCGATGACAGAGTCTATGCAGTGACAATCATGGGATGGAGCCGTGAGATTGAGGTCCCACTGATACACATGCTCAATCAATCATCATGAAGCCTTGGTTTTAAATCATCAAATATCTCAAACAGAATTCACTGGAAAAATGAAACCTGGAAAGAAATTACATATATCAGTGTGACAGAAACCATCATTTGGAAAAAATTATTACATGTATTTTGACTTTTTAGTTTAGTGAAAGTTCCATCCACTAACAAAGTGGAGGCAGGGTTTATGATCTAGACTTGCAGCCAGCCACCAGGGGGTGATCAAGATGCTTTGGCTTCACTTTTGAGGAGCTGTCATGTCATCCATCTTCATATAAAGTCTATGGATCCACAGAGAGTAACCTGTAGGCCTAATAAGTGTAGTGATTGCTTGACTTTTATCACAAGGAGGACATTTTTTGTTTTCTTTTGGTGACAGGTCAGTTAAGATCTATTAAGGATTGCTATCCACGAAACTTGATGTCCTCTTCTGACTGAACTGTAATAACTTTGGTGAACCCTTTCCTCAGCATGAATTGCCTCGATCGGGTAAAAGATTCAATTCATGCAAAACCTGGTTTTTGAATACAGTCTTGCTGACACACCCATCAGGCTCAACTGTTCTCTGTGTTTAGTGTTGATTAGCAAGTGTTAGCGAAGATGGTGAACACGGGAAACATTAGCCCTGGTAAACATTGGCATGTTAGTATTGTTGTTGTGAGCATGTTAGTATGCTAACATTAGCGTTTGGCCTACACGCAGCCTCACAGAGCTGCTAACATGACTCTTTGTCTTGTTTTTCTATTAATTATGTACTAGATGATGATAACAATAAATAATAAATAACACTTTAGCTGTATTATCTTTGAAGTGGAAGCTTTCAAGGGTTAATTGAATGTATCAATTGCCTACTAACGACATGTCATTCAGGTCACCATTTAGAGTGTATTGCTCAAGCCAGTGATAAATATTTATGTAAATATTTTTAAATTAAAAGTATAAAAGCAACAGATAACTGTATGTAAATGTACTCAAACTCATGTATTCTACATGATTCAGAGTAAGTGAGGGGTGCAAATGATGAGTGTTTTTGTATGTGCTCTGCAGTCAGCCTTCTTATTATCATATACTAGCGTCATTAAACATGTTGTGGAGTAAAGTGAATATGATCTGACAACAAAGCTACAACACTGGCCACAACACGGCACAGATACACATACAAAAGCAGAATAACAGAAGGCAGGTGAGAAACAGAACAGGTTATTACTGTATGGACATTACAACGTCTTTCTTCTAACTTATGTTTATGGATCAGTGCTGTTGCAACAGCAAACTACACCAAACACAAAGAGTTCATTTCTTAAAATACATAAATTATCAGTTAGAACAAATATAAAGAAAAGTTATATTTGTTCATCAGAAATGAAATGGGTTAGGGAGGAGGAAGCTGAGATTATTGCAGATCTCATGCAAATGTTATAAATCAATCAAACAAAGAAAACAATGGTTTTCCCATAAATTTCTCTCAATATTAGAAAAGGATCAATGTGATGGATGCGCTAAACAAGGATTTTAGCTCATCCACATCAAATTAATGTGTGAGTAACTTTAATTGATAGAGATTAGTATAAAACAGAATGTGGTGGGACAAAATAGAGGGATGCTGGAAAAGATAAGCATGTAGCCTATATCTTAACTAAAATTTTAAAAAGGAAGAAAACAAGATGACAGATGAGTTTATAAACACCATCAGCATCAAGCCAAACCAGAATGAAAGAGTTAAGATGAACATAATGTTCAACAATAGGCCCACATTGACAAAAACTTATTATTCTTTCTCTTTTAGCCATGAATATATGAACACTGAGGCACATTAAGATACAATTTCTGCCTTATTTCTGCCTTCCATGCTTACATGTCAAGTAAAGCTTTTATTTTATTGGTTTTATTTCATTTCATAACTTTTCCTTCCTTATTCTGGCCAAGCTTGATGCAGCTACATTACTCTGAGCCTACAGGGATATTTGGAGGGTCTACTATATATAGAGGGATCTGAAAGATGAAGAGTGAAGGGTGAAGGGTGAAGGGATAAAGGGACAGAGGACAGTTGGGTCTGTGTACCTCCGCCAGGTCAGAAAACAGGACTTGACTGGCACTTCGCCTCAGAACGTCCCAGTAACTCCGCGCCATAAACTCCTGACTGTCTTTTTTTAGCACCTGTGGGAGCGGTCAAGCAGGGCCAGGGTCAAGTCCAGCTTCCAATATTCATTCTTTAAGTTTCTTATAAAATATACACAGATTCTGGAAGTTGACTTTTCATCTTATTTTAAAATAAAAACAGATAAATATAAAGCATATATGTATGAATAGTGTCAAATACAGTATCAATCATGGGTAAAAAATACTTAATTCAGATCTATCAGATATGAGAAACCCATTCTGCTAAACAAGGCAGAACATATAGTGAACAATAGTAATATGACTGGGGAAAGAGAAATGAGGCTAAAATGTTTTATAATGATCTGTATCAATGATGAATGCAGCAAAAATATTTGATTCCATTGTAAAGTTAGACCATCCGTTTTAATCCGAAAAATATGTTCATATATGCAAATATTATTTAGCATAACGTGGATTATTGATGAGGACTCTGCTGTAATGTTTCTATAATGAAATCACTGAATCTACCATGTCATTACTTTGCCTTTGTGCTGAGTCGGCAGTGAATACAAGAAACAACTGCGTATTTAATTGAACTCTGCAGCAAATGCGCAATTTTTACACCCTAAAAGGTTTCCCTCCACTGAGCCCATTAGACTTTAGCTCCCCACATTGAAAACAGCTGACAAACCAACCAACCACAGTGTCGAGCTCCCTGACCACCCACCTCGCCTTTCTCTCCAGGGAGGAGGCAGCAGCAGCCATTTTAACATGACCCTGCACCGCTCTTAACTTCACAGTGACAATGCAGCCATCCATCACAACACTGACAGGACCAGGAGCATGTGTGTGTGTGTGTGTGTGTGTGAGAGAGAGAGAGTCCATCATCCAAATACAGACTAATGGTTGATAGTGTGCAGTTTGTGGACAGTAGCCTATAAGTCCGCATAATGGATTTTCCACACTGTCCTCTATCTCCATCAGGAAATCTTCATCACTACTCAGGATGGGCAGATTTCAACAGTGGTTATCTTGAGTCTCAAAGGAAAATTTGTTTTAAAAAAAGCTACTTTTTGAACATAAAGTGTTCAAATTTCTCAGATTCCATAATTTATTTGCTCATTTAAATTTGACAGATATTTCCAGCCTTTTTTTGGTATATGATCATTGTATAGAATATGTATGTGTATTGGGTTTTCTTCAATGGGAAAAAGCCTTTCTATTATCGTGAATTATTAGAAAACCAAGTCTCACAAATAGACAAATGTAACTTGTTTGCTTTCTTTACAGTGGAAATCTGGAAATCTGAATGTCTGGAAGGTAGTTTCTGTCTGTAGGCAAAACCTTCCTCAAAATGTTTTCCCACACACACACACACACACACACACACACACACACACACACAC